TTTTTAATGGTCAGATTTGTTAGTTGTCAAAAAAGTTAATGTGCAACATCATCTGCACCCAATTTTACTTAATTTATTCCTTCATTTCTGATTGTGTTTTTCACTGAAAATGAGACAAAAAATACTGATTAACTGCTGTTTTTTTGTTGCAGAAAAATAATACTGATTAAATACTGATAATTTACCGATAATACTGAGTAAATACTGATGTAAAAAAAAATAATTTACTTCATTTGTGGTATTTTTTTAAACTGTAAGATGAGATAAGAAATACTAATTAAATGTTGATTTTAAAACCATGATGAATGAATACTGATTAAACACTGATAATTTACCTATAGTACTGAGTAAATACCGATAAAAAAAAACCAAGTTTATTCCATTACTTCATTTCTGATATATATATATTTAACTGGAAAACAAGACAAAAAAAACCCTGATTTTAAAACCATGATGCTTATAATACTTAATACTTATTAAATACCAATAATTAACCGATAATATTGAGTAAATACCAATCCCCCCCCCCCAAAATGTATTCCTTCATTTCTGAAAAAGTTATTTATTTATTTATGTATTTTTTACTGGAAAACAAGACAAAAATATTGATTACATTTTTATTTTAAAATCATGATGAATTAATACTGAATATTAACCGATAATACTGAGTGAATACCGATAAAACCCCCAAATGTATTCCTTTGCTTCATTTCTGGTAATTTTTTTAACTGAAAAAAATAAAAATAAAAAATAAGACAAAAAAATATATTGATTAAATGTTGATTTTAAGACCATTATGAAATAATACTGATAAAATACTGATAATTTGCCGATAATACCAAGTAAATACTGATTAAATAAATCTATCTATCATTAAAAGCAGGAACATACATATGAAAGTATGAATGAATGAATGAATGAAACATTCATTCATTCATTCATTCATTCATTCATTCATATGAAAGTAAATAGAGTAAATAACTTATTTTAAGCACACTAACTAGAATATTACCTAAAGTAATATAATGCTAATGCCTAAAGCAAATAACTTCAATGAGGCCTAAATAAAAACAAGAAAAATAAGGCCTATATACTTTAAGCTTTGAGAGAAGCATGTGTGTTTTTGCCCTGAAAGAGATGATGTTGTTTTATTATTATCAATATGATTAATATCTCCATATGTAGGTCGCACAGCACAAGCTCTATGTGTTCTTCCTGTCAGTGCATTTGTATCCTTTGTTAGTTCGTTTCCCTCGGGGATCAATTAAGTGAATAATCCAGTGGTCTTATTTTAGCCATTGTTAGCGTGCAGCTCTCTGGTCACCTTGTGAACCTGGATAGAAACCTGAGTTGAAGGCTGACGGCGTTTCAAACAGAAGCGCTCGCCTCGTTTCACCTCCTCGTCTGTTGTTGGAGGGCTGGACTCTCTCTCTCGCTCCGTCTGCGGCGCTGAGCCAAATAACAGATCAAACTATGAGAAGAGGACCGGACCTCCTGTACGCTCGGGATCATTTGTCTAAAGAAAAGATTTCCAAAAAGTTTATAAAACAGTGATTTTGCTCAGTCTGTCCTGGTATCTGGTAGGACTGGATGATATTTCAGAAAACCATTGTGATGCCTTATGATGATATTCAATATACTGTATATGTTAATAATGCTCTAAAAAAACAGTCTAATTAATTTTAAATAAATTATTCAGTCATTTCAGTTTTTAGGAAGATTAATAGCTAAAAAAAGAAAGAAAGAAATGCATACATTTTCAGCAATATCATGACTGTTTATATGTACATTTAGAAATGTATTTTAGATTTATATATAATTATATTATATTATATTATATTATATTATATTATATTATATTATATTATATTATATTATATTATATTATATTATATTATATTATATTATATTATATTATATTATATTATATTATATTATATTATATTATATTATATTATATTATATTAATTAATTATTAAAAAGAAATATTCCAGTTACTGTCTAGACCTGATATTTTCAATCTGCCCAATCTACAGAATCCAAATAATTTAAATCATATAACAACGATGACCGTCATGTCAAATCAAATCCAAAACTCCAACTGTCTCCTTCGTCTCCAGGCATCAGGTTGATGCCAGTCAAACTCTCTCCCTGCTCGTCTATATTACTTTTCCTAAATATATCAGCATCATCTTTATACAATAAAGCATCAATGTCTCGTCATCCGAGCTCTCTTTGTGTCTTTGTACTTAGTTACTGTGTTGCGTTATAGTGAGACGTTTAATCTTGCAAGTGTCAATCCGGCCGATCGGAGCGACATCTGATCCCGCAGCAGCGTTCGGAGATCAGACTCCCAAAGGAAGTAACCTTGAGTCCATCTTGGCTCATAACAGCATAACAGTTATTCAAACAGAACCGACAGATTGGTTTACACACACGGCTCCTAACAGAGATTCCCAGAGCCTGTCCATCGGCCCCGGCCCCGGCTCTCCTATTCTCGGGACCCTGACAGGACAGAGGGACTCTCTAGCGACCAAAATAGAGCATGTCGAAATGCTTTGTGTCCCGGCAATGCGGTCCCAGCTGCCAGTGTGCTGAGAGGGGCTTCTTTGACAAATTCTCAGAGTGACTCTGAGCTGGAACTCAATGACAACAGCAGATCACTGATGGAGACCATTACAGGATCCGACATTTCTGCTCTAACATTTATAAACATCCTCAAACAAGGAATCCCGGAAAATATGCGTTGTAGTCCAAACGAGTCGTTCGTTGTAGTTTTTGAAAAGTGGTTTCTGTTAAATAAAATATCTCCTTTTGAAGTGGACTTTGAGCTTTGTAACGTTGCAGATCTTTTTTATGCTCAAACAGCAACATTACAGACTAATTAAAGTTGAAAATGTGAAAAAGCACAATAGGACCCCTTTAAATCAAGATTGCACAAGATAATAAGGCTGGTTTTCAGAGAATATTTATTTACTTAAGAGTTTTAGATTTATGACTACAAGAAAACAAAACTAAACTAAAATACAAGATCTGTTATCTGAAAACAAGTATTATTATCTTGCACAAGCTTGCTTTTCAAGTAAATTGATCTTGTTTTAAGGATGTTTAGATAATGTTACAGGAAAAGTAGACAAAAAATTAAAATGTTTACTGTCTATCAAAAATGATAACAATAATAATAATAAAAAAACAATACAAAAAAACATTTAAGCTTTTTTTTAGCTGTTGATAAAAAATCTAAATATTCAATAACAAAAAACAAATGAACTTTAACAATTAAACTATCATTTATTCCTTAACTTTTTTGTAATATACTTTTTAAACTGGAAAAAAAATGCAGATTAAACATTGATTTTTAAAGCCATGATGAAATAGTATATATATATATGTTTAAAGGTTATTAATTTATTTATTTTCCTGTTGATAAAAAAAATCAAAATATTCAATAACAAAATTAAAAAATTCAGTAACAAAAAACAAATGAACTAAATATTCAATAAAAACTATCATTTATTCCTTTACTTCTTTTTTTTTTTTTTTACTGGAAAACAAGCCAAAATACAGATTAAACATTGATTTTTAAAGCATGATTAAAAATATTTACTAAATATTGATAATATTTTAATAAATATTTTTTTTTAATGTTGATAATAACAATCTAAATAATTAATAACAATTGAATTTATACCTTTACTTCTGGAAAACAAAAACTACTGTTTAAATCTTGATTTTAAACCATGATGAAATAATACAGATTAAATTTTGAGTAAAAAAAAAGTTTTAAAATATTTTGTTTTACTGTAGATAAAAACTTCTAAATAATCAGTAACAAAAAACACTTTTAACTTAAAACTTAAAAAAAAACTTTAACACTTAAAATATAATTTATTCATTGATGAATTATTTTCTGATAAAGTACTGTTTATAGTGGTAAACAAGACAGAAATACTGATATAATGTTGATTTTAAAGCATGTTGTAATAATACTGTTTAAATATTGATGAAAAAGGTTTTCTTTTTTTCTGTCAATAAAAACAATATCTAAACAATCAATAACAAAGCTCTTTTTTCACTGAAAAACAAGACAAAAACCTTGATGATAGCAGTATTTTACATTTACATTTAGTCATTTAGCAGACGCTTTTATCCAAAGCGACTTACAAATGAGGACAATAGAAGCAATCAAAACTAACAAAAGAGCAACAATATATAAGTGCTATAACAAGTCTCAGTTAGCTTAACGCAGAACACATAGCATGTTTTTTTTTAATCATATAATAAATAAAAAGAAAACAGATAGAATAGAAAAAGAATAGAGCAAGCTAGTGTTAGAGGCCTTTTTTGCTTTTGTTAATCAGAAGTCAGAATTATAATTGTATAATAAATAAAAAGAAAACAAATAGATAGAATGCAAAAAGATAAGAGAAGCGAGTGTTAGATTTTTTACAAATAAAGAATAGAATTAGAATAATTAATAATACATTTTACTGTCAATATTGAAAAAAAATCTATCACTTTTTTTTGTCATAAACTCTAAGCCGCGCCGCTGTAAACAGTCCCAATCTCAAGCACGTTCTGCCATACGAGAAAGGAAGCGGCGGTTGGTATCAGTGCGTCTGGGGTCCGGGGCCCCGTCCAAACCCGACTGAAGTGGGGCCCGTCCATTAGCACGTCCTTCAGGGACACGGCAAGGTGTGTGAGCGTGATAGCAGCTGTCACCCGCACCCTCACGCTTTCAACATGCCAGCCTGCTGAGAGCCAGCTGCCGCCTGCCGGAGACGGGCCCCGGAACGGGACGAACCGCTGGCGCCACCAGCCTCTCAGCGCAACCGTAACTCATAGAGCAAGCGTTCAGAGAGCGCTCACCTTTGTGCACATGTTACAGGCCCCTTCAGGACGTCCGATAATACACAACAAACTCATTTCCTGTACACAATAACGGACTGACCGTGTTTGCAGTGATGCCGCTAATAACCTGTTATTCCTGTTTTCCGCAGCAAATGTCCAGATGGTTTCGAATGTCTGAAGACCGGACGAAACCCGAACTACGGCTACACCAGCTTCGACACCTTCGGATGGGCTTTTCTCTCGCTTTTCAGACTCATGACACAAGATTACTGGGAAAACCTCTATCATCACGTCAGTAGACTTTCTGTTCGCTCTCATTACATCACATTCAAGCATTAAACTGTTCATTGGTAGCTGGATGACATACGTTTCTTAGAAGATGCATTTTTTTAAAGAAATTAATATTTTTATTTGTAAAGGATGCATTGAATTGATCATATTAGAAATATCATTACTGTATTTATTAAATAAAATTTAAAACAAAATATTTATTTTTTTGTATTTAATATAAAATATTTAATATTTCATCATAAAAAATTTTTTTTTAATAAATATACAATTTATATGCATACACTACCATTTGGGGTCAGTAATTTTATTACTTTTTTATTTTGAATTTTTTTAAGAAAATAAAACTTCTATTCATCAAGGACACATTAAATTGATCAAAAGTGACACTAAAGACATTTCTAATGTTGCAAAATATTTCTATTTCAAACAAATGCTGTTCTTTTGAACTTTCTGTTCATCTGTAAATCCTGAAAAATAAAATGTATCACGGTTTCCACAAAAATATTGTGCAGCACAACTGTCTTCAACATTGATAATAATCAGAAATGTTTCTCGAGCAGCAAATCAGCATATTAGAATGATTTCTGAAGATCATGTGACACTGAAAATTCAGATTTGATCACAAGAATAAATTACATTTTACTTTATATCCACATAGAAACAGTTATTTTAAATCATAATAATATTTCACAATTTTTACTCTATTTTTGATCAAATAAATGCAGCTTTGGTGAGCAGAAAAAACCCAGAATTATGAATATTAGTGAATATGTAAATATATAAAATTCAGTGTAATTTATTTCTGTATTTTGGCAGTAAAACATACAATGCCAAACTTTTGGATGGTAGTGTATGTAGAAATTAAACTTTTATTCATCTGTTTTCATCCACTGACTAGGCTGTTGGCAGATTTTGAGAGTTCGCTGTAAATGATCTCAATAGCATTTGATTGATCATTCTGACCAATGCATCTGTCTGTCACTAATCACAAGCTTCAATTGCACATGAGTTTCTCTCAATCTGCGAGTTATTGCAGCCGTTGAGACCTGACGCTGTTTCTGTGCTGACAGACGCTGCGCTCGGCGGGAAAAGCGTACATGGTGTTTTTTGTGCTGGTGATCTTCCTGGGCTCCTTTTACCTGGTGAACCTGATCCTGGCTGTGGTGGCCATGGCGTACGAGGAGCAGAACCAGGCCACCATCGCAGAAGCCCTGCTGAAAGAACAAGAGTTTCAGCTCGCCATGGAACAGCTGAAGAAGGAACAGCAGGTACGTCGGGGTCACTGCTGAAATCAGCTCTTCATTTCTGTTTCTTTGTTTGTTTTGAATACGCGCCCTCTAGTGGCGAAAATTATATATCGTGCCTTTAAGGAAGCGGGGGGAACTGCAGGGGTTTGGGAGTTTATGGAAAGCTTATTTATTTATTTTAATTCATTATTAAATCAAATGTAACATTAAAATAAATAAATTTGGTTGCACAATTAATCTGACATTGTGATATAGCTTAGTGCGATTTTTAAATCAAATGCAGCAGTTTAATTAAGTATCTAGTCTGTTTTCACAGTGAAGCGCGGCACTGTGTGCATTTACACACGTGCATCTTATAATACAGTGTTTTTAGCATCTCTCTGTGCTTCTCAGTTCACAGTAAATGCTACAAACTCTCTGCATGAGCTGCGAGTTCATTTGGACACGCAATGTGCTCTAGATTCAGTTTATTTACACACTTGCATAATTTTTTGAGGACAGAAGTTCCTCAAATATCAAAATAAAAAAATTAAAAATGTGGAACGTTAAAAGCTCAAGGGTTTGAAAGTTTGAAAGTGAAGAATTTAAGATATAAATATTAGTATTATAACTTGTAGAGCTTGTAAAATAAGAAATGTGTTATAATATTATCACATTCATACTGATTTTTTTAATTGTACAGTACAAATGTAATTAACAACAGTAATGTATTTCTGTCTTAATGTTTTATAAATAGAGTTAAAACAAAAAAATAAGGCTACTACTACTACTATTATATTAATAATACTAATAAGATATGAATATTATTAATAATAATATTGTTGTTGTTAATAATAATAATAACTATTATTATTATTATTATTGTTGTTGTTAAAATTAACAACAACAAACAACAACAACAACTATACTTAGTATTATAACTTGGAGCATAAAATATAATCACATTATCACATTGATATAATTTTTTATTTTACAGTACAATTGTGATTTACAACAGTAATTTATTTCTGTCTTAATTTTTATAATTAGAGTTAAAACTAATACTGATAAATATTATTATTATGATTATTATTATTAATAATAAAAACAACAACAACAATAATAATAAAAACAACAACAATAATAATAATAATAATAATAATAATAATAAGACACTATCACAACAAAAAAAGAGGTTTGAGTGAATTTTAAAGTCCAGCTACAAAATTAAATATTTATAATATCGCAGTTCAAATCTGTTCAATATATGACAAAATAATTGAAATACAATTTAAAAAGTTGTGTAGTCCTATATGAAACTAAAAACAATAAAAACAAAATAAAATACTTACTAAAACAGATCAAATATTTTATCTTGCATGTCATGTGACTAACTAATATGTTGTTAAATTATTGAAATATTATCTTCTTAAAAAGATTCAAGTAAAGTTTTTATGTCTAAGGGGTTTGGCTGATGGAATCCTTGATTTAATCAATAATGTACAAGAAGTCATGCTACATTGTGATTATAATGACAGCTTTCTGTCTGTCAGGCGGCTCAGAAAGCACAAGAAACCGAGTCCATCTTGACGGCCGACGTGTCGCCGTTCTCCTCACAAGGCAAAGGGAATCTGGACCGGAGGAAAAGCTCGAGGCTGCTGTCAGAAGGAACGGAGGACGGCAGCAACGACAAATCAGCCAAGATGGACACTATAGAGGGGATGAAGGTAGATTTATCACCCAAAACTCACCCTCATGTTGTTTTATTCCGTGGAATTGTCTCCAGTTAAGTCAATTCATCTCCGTTTTTCTAGCAAACGCACTCTTTGCTGGTCCGCACTCTCTCCTTACGGGCCAGACGGGAGAGTCAGGTCAGCATCTTCAACTTCCGGCCGCCAAACAAAGACTCGGAGGTGGATTTCGCCGACGATGAGTTCAGCAATCACGGCGATTCGGACAGCCGCGGCGGGGCGCTGGCTCTGCCCTGGAGCAAGAGAAGGACCAGCGCTCAGAGCACCTGCAGCCACAGCTCGCAGTTCTTCTTCCCGAGTCTCAACATCAACGGGAAACTCTTCGTGGCCATAGACCAGAACGGCATCTCGGGCCAGGGACCGCTGTCTCCTCTGCCGCTGCCGACATGCACCATGGAGAAGGTCAAGGAGGAGAGCGTAAGTGCCTTTGTGCTTCTTATCAAACGAGCAGGGCTGCAGAGGTGAAGTCCTGTAAATTAGAAACAGCATGACTGATTTGTAATATAGCACCTGTGAATCAGGTACGAGTCACTCGGATCTATAGACGAAGAACCACGGCTGGAATCGTCTCCTGTGGAGAAATCAGGATCAGTCTCATGAAGAAATGTGTAGATACTTCTAACAAGTTTGACTGATACTTAATAAATCAATCAATCAGATATACCAATAAATGGTTTATTTATTGATAATTAACAGTAAACACTTTGTCAAACTTAATTTGACAAAATACGATTGTTAGAGTACTACTACTACTAATAATACATTTAGACATTACATTTAGTCATTTTGCAGACGCTTTTATCCAAAGCGACTTACAATTGGGGAATACATAAAGCGATTCTTCTGTGGGGTTACCCGAGCCTGCTTGAATGCAGTGGGGAAGGTGCCTGTGAGGAGAGATGTGATGATGATGTGTAGGAGAATAATAATAATAATTCATTATAATTCATTAATAATAATAACTTTAATAATAAAACAAAACAATAATAATTAATAATATTAATAATAATAATAATAATAATAATTGGTATTATTATTATTAAATATTTACATGTTATTATTATTATGGTAAATATAATAAATATTATAATTAAAATGTACAATTATTTTATTACAATATAGAAAAATATAGAACATTATAATAAAAATAAATAAATAAATATAGTATATATATATATATATACTATATATATATTTATAATATATATAAATGTTTGGGTGAAATGCATGCCAGACATGTTCTGAAAAGGTATGTGAGTTATTTATATATATATATATATCTCCATTTTATCTGTACACACACAGTACAGACATATTTAACAGAATCAAAACATGACTCAGTGTGTACAGAGAGAGGTCTGTGATTGGAGAGAGATGTTGCTGTTGCTTTTCCTTGGAAACACAAGTACACTTCCCAGAATGCTGTGTTATCAGTGTACTCAACAGCACTGATCGAAATGCCATATGAACCTCTTCAGATGCCTTAAACTGCCTCGCATTGAAGAGAAATGCACTGCATGCTTAATTAGCAATTACTTCACGCATCTGTTACATAAGTGACTGCATAAGGGATTTCCATAGATGCATACTGTACGATACATGTAAAGGAACCCGTAAAGATCATGAATGCTATTATTATTATTATTATTAAATGAAATTATTTTATTAAAATATAGAAAAATATATAGAAAATTATAAATGAATACATGAACAAACACAACTTTTACAAAAGTTAAACAGACACAAATGAGACACTTATTGGCGTACTGCAAGAATATAGAGCTATAAAATGAATGCAGAGCAGCTTTAATATTGAGAAATATTAGTTCATACTGAGATCTTTAGATTTTTGACTTTATTGTAGGCAAATCTGAGTCTAATAAGAGACACGTGAGATTTCTGAGGTCTTTTTCTCATCTGAGATGCAGCAAAGTCTAAGTTTGCACTTCATTTAATCTCAGTGCTGTCTAGAGAGATATTTTTGATATATTTAAAGTGATTTTCTTTCATATGGGCTTTTGAAACGGGAAGTATGACATCCTGCCAGAAATATCTGAATTACTCAGAAAGGAAAGGAGTCTGAAAACTGTCTGGACTGTGTGAAGGAGGCACGGATACCCTGTTGTCTTGGTGATGTAGTCATGGTAACATAGCAACAGATGTTGAATAAGAGTCGCAGAGGTGGCGTCTCACACACACACACACACACACACACACACACACACACGCGGCGGTGTTTCCCACTCGTCTGAACAGCAGGAGTGGGCGTTCTGGTGGGCCGTGATGAAGTGCTCCTGCGTCATTCCTTTGATTACCTGCGATCAAAAACACATTATATAATCAGATGGGTCATTGTTACAGACAGACATCGTATCGACTCGAAGACCTCAGATAAAAAAAAAATTAAAACAGCTGACGTTTAGAAAACAAATGGATAAAAGCGTTTGACAAAAATTAACGCATTTCCCAAAACACCCATTATCACTGAAGACATCTGCTGCTGAGGGTTAATCGCTGCTTTTATTGGGCTTTTGTTTTGCACTAAACAGAATTGATTTTTAAATGCCATTAGGAGTGTTGTAGATTAAGGTGTGTGTGTGTGTTTGCACAGTCAATAATACCATATAAAGTATTGTGTTTGCTGAGCCTTATCTAGAGACAAGAACATCAGAGAGAATTGAGGGTGGAGCTATTCAGAACTCCTTAACAACCACATAGCAACGCCCTGGCAACCACCTAGCAACCACCCAGTCACCCTAGCAACCACATAGCAATGTGTTCAACATTGTTCAGAGCACTTAACAACTGCACAGCAACACTTGCAATGCCCTTGCAAATGTATAATTAATAATATTAATAATAATAATAATAATAATAATAATAATAATAATAATTATTATTATTATTATTAAATTGGTCTAGTGATTATGTGCCAAAATATATCAATAAATTATGAATTATATATTTAAATATTCACTAGAATTCAAAAGTTTGGGGTTGGTACTTTTTTATTTTATTTTTGAACATCTCTTCTGCTCTCCAAGGCTGCATTTATTTGATCAAAAATACAGCAAAAATGTGAAATATTATTACAATTTAAAATAACCATTTTCTATGTGAATTTTCCATAGATGCATACTGTACGATACATGTAAAGGAACCCGTAAAGATCATGAATGCTATTATTATTATTATTATTAAATGAAATTATTTTATTAAAATATAGAAAAATATATAGAAAATTATAAATGAATACATGAACAAACACAACTTTTACAAAAGTTAAACAGACACAAATGAGACACTTATTGGCGTACTGCAAGAATATAGAGCTATAAAATGAATGCAGAGCAGCTTTAATATTGAGAAATATTAGTTCATACTGAGATCTTTAGATTTTTGACTTTATTGTAGGCAAATCTGAGTCTAATAAGAGACACGTGAGATTTCTGAGGTCTTTTTCTCATCTGAGATGCAGCAAAGTCTAAGTTTGCACTTCATTTAATCTCAGTGCTGTCTAGAGAGATATTTTTGATATATTTAAAGTGATTTTCTTTCATATGGGCTCATTTTCTATGTGAATATCTGTTAAAATGTAATTTATTTCTGTGATCAAAGCTGAAGTTTCAGCATCATTACTCACATGATCTTCAGTGTCACATGATCTTCAGAAATCATTCTAATACGCTGATTTGCGGCTCGAGAACCATTTCTGATTATTATCAATGTTAAAAACAATTCATATTCATATATATTTGTGGAAAAATTTGCATTTATTTGAAACAGAAATATTTTGTAACATTATAAATTTCGTTACTGTTACTTTTGATCAATTTAATACTTTTTTAAAAATGTTAGTGTAGAATATAATAATTAAAAAAATGGTTATCAGATGATAAAACATTAAATTATTCAGCTGGTCATAAAAAAATCTACATATTTCACCCCAAAATTTTAAGAAAAAAATAAATACATAATGAAACTGAAGCCTTTTGTTAGAAGCATGCATATTTT